GGGGGGGGGGTAATGACTCCATGACCGAGGGTTCGAAGATGAGCTTTCTGAGAACCTTATTTAATTGACATCAAGGAAATTAAAAACATATATCTTCAGGTTTGAATGATCATGTGATGAGAATGACATGTTCCCATTATACTCCAGTATCTGATAAACTCATCCCAACCGGAGAAATTGCTCCTGTTGTAGGAACCATCTTTGATCTTAGATTCCCAACCAGGTGAAATCACAGAGATGGGGTGGGCAGTGGGACACCTCCCCCTCTCCCCAGGTTTTATTATTCCTCAATGGCTTGTGTAAAAAGTATTTTGAGACCAATATTTCATGAAATATATTAATTTCAAAGACTGTAATATGCAAATTTTAAAATATTATGTGACTAGAAGTTCTTGTTCCATCATTAATCGAACTCTTGGCCTAGAATTTGTCAAACATCGTCTTAAAATATCTTTTATTACAAAACATTCATATTACGGTTGACGGATTGTAACAATTCAAAACACTGACAGAGTTAAAGCTGTCAGAACTAATTGGACACCCTGTAGGAACACCAGGATCATCCTGTATTTAAATAAAGGTGACCTTGATGTTAACCACAAGATATATCTGTTCTAGGCTGGGGGACGTGCTACCGAGCTGTCCAGGTGGAGATAACAACGGGTTCGATCATAACTTTGTGGTTTCAGGAGACTCACATCAGCTCAACCTCGTCTGCAGGTCTGTACACTGTTTGTCTGTTTATTATTATTATTATTATTATTATTATTATTATTATTATTATTATTATTATTATTATTATTATATATTATTAATAATATTAAACATGTATAATAAACCTATAATTCAGGGTTGAGCATCCAACTACTGGAATATGGTTGGAATGCTTAACTGACCAGCCCGGCTGCCAGTTCTACACAGGAAATTTTATCCCTGCAAATGACAGGTTAATAAATTATATAAACATGGAATTGTCTTTTTAACAAAGATGAGGATTCAGGGGGTTCTTTGGCTGTAATTGTATAAATATTAAGTCTAATATAATGAGAATTATAAACATTTTAAAGGGAAAGGCATCCTCTAGGGCTCAGCTGGGCCTTAAACTTAATTCAGGGTATCGTCATAAAACCCGGTTTCAAACGCCTAGTTTAATGAATGGGTAAAGGCAGTTTTGTAGCTATCAATATATATTTCTGAATTATTATTTTATTTGGTTTCTTAATATTCTCCATATATTTTCTATTATCTTTAATCAAACTCTACACAAATGTATGAGACCCCAAAAGGAGAACTCGTCAGTTTTATTCAACAATACTCTCTTTAATTTCAGACTCTGAAGTTTGTTCACTTAATTCGGTTAATCATGAAAAAAACATGTCGGACACAGGAGATAGTCAATCACCTCCTCGCAACTACTAATTCTTTGCTGTCAAACCTGTTATTAATATTTCTAATTATTTTCAGCTTGAAGGGTAAGGACAGATCTGTCTATAAGAAGCATGGAGGTTTCTGTTTGGAAACCCAGAAGTTTCCAAACTCTGTAAATCAGCCAAATTTTCCAAACTCTGTAGTTCGACCGGGGGATGTTTACAAACACACTGTAGTGTACAAACTTGGAAAGAATTGAGTGTACTGCAGTATATTTGTACTACAGATAGTTTGGTATGGTTTCGAATTCGAGAGTTTGTTTTCAATAAATTCATTAGTTAAACATTTCATTGTGATCAATAAAAAATATATACTGTTGCATTTCGACATCATAAAGAATAAATATGTTTTATAAGCGTTTTTGTAACTTTGTTTCATAGCTTATCAACGTTTTTTAAAACTTTGTTTTAGTTTATCAGCGTTCTTGTAACTTTGTTTCATAGTCAATCAGCGTTTTTTAAAACTTTGTTTTATATTTATCTGCGTTTTTGTATCCATATTTCATAGTTTATCAGCGTTCTTATAACTTTATTTCATAGTTTTATCAGCGTGCGTGCAACTTTGTGTCAAAGTTTATCAGCGTGCATGTAACTTTGTTTCATAGTTATCAGTGTTCTTTTCTCTTTGTTAAAAGATTTTCAGCGTTCTTTTATCTTTTCTTCATTGTTTATCAGCGGTCTTGTAACTTTGCTAAAAAAAATTATCAGCGTTCTTGTAACTTTGTTTCATAGTTTATCGGCGTTCCTGTAACTTTGATTCATAGTGTATCAGCGTTCTTGTAGCTTTGTTTCATAGTTAACCAACGTTCGTTTCACTCTAAATTAATCAGTGTCTTTGAAACTTTGTTTCACAGTTTATCAGCGTTCTTGTAACTTTGTTTAAAAGTTAATTAGCGTTTTTTAAAACTTTGTTTTATATTTTATCAGCGTTTTTGTAACTTTTTGTATCCATATTTCATAGTTTATCAGAGTTCTTGTAACTTTGATTCATAGTTAATAGCGTTCGTATAACTCTGTTTCAAAATTTATCAGTGTTTTGAAGCTTTTCATAGTTTATTAGCGTTCTTGTAACTTTGTTTCAAAGTTTATCAGTGTTTTTGAAACTTTGTTTCATAGTTTATGAGCGTTATTGTAACTTTGTTCAAAAATAATGAGCGTTCTTGTAACTTTGTTTCATGGGTTATCATGGCGTTCTTGTTATTTTGTTTAAAAAATTATCAGCGTTCTTGTAACTTTGTTTCAGATAATTTATTCACAAGCTAAACTGTGATTAACATGAATACTAAGGTATAGTACAACAAATATTTAAACAATGCATTTTTGACTGATAAAATATTACAAAATGATCAAATTTGCTGGATTCTGAATGTCGAATCTTTTCATTCATAGTATTAACTTTCAAAGTAACAGAAAAATTAAAGGGAAACAACTTAAGATTTTAGTGCCTGTTATTTGTAAAAAAAAGAAAGAAGAGAAAAAAATTCTTTAATTCTCCTTGATATGAAGGAGTAGAAACATAATGATCAGTTGCTGGTTGATATGTTCTTGTGCAGAGGTCGACCCAACCTGTAGCAAATTATGTTAATGTTACTAATTAATATTTAGCAGTGTCCAACCCGCTCTCTGCTGTTTGTCAGAACCCCAACCGATCTTATCTCTCCGCTAGGTAGAGTTTAGAATACTTCTGAGTAAACCTTACATATTCTAAATACTTCTGAGTAAACCTTACATATTCTAAATACTTCTGAGTAAACCTTACATATTCTAAATACTTCTGAGTAAACCTTACATATTCTNACCTTGCATATTCTAAATACTTTTGACTGCAGTAAGCCCCTCAGTCCGGTTTTCCTTTGAGGATGCTGAATGGAAAACGATGAAGAAATCTTCTCTCAAGAAACCAAGAATTCAGGTTTAAAATTGAAACATTGTTTTCAGTTAATATATTTTTTAAGAATGAACATAATATTTGTAATATTGTTTAAAAACAGCTTGAGTTGATTATTTTATTTCCTAAGTGAGATAATTGCAGTTAGGTCTGTGAAAAGTTTAAGCTTAAAAAAAATAAGATATTATTTATAAATTTGAATTTTCATCACATTATGTAACAATGTATTTATCATCGTAAAAAAATGAAAGCAGGGAACGTTTTTATAAAATACCAAATTGTAACAAATAAGAATTTTTATTTAAATTTTGTTTTTATTTTAGAGTATGTCTACGCCAAGTAAGCAGAAGAAGGTTAGGTTTGATAATGTGGCGGAACAGGTAAAAAAATGTTTTGTGTTTAGATTGAATAATTTATCAGAATTAAAAGCGCGGGGCGCTCAGAAATACCTTTTATTATAGTTTGAAACCTTTTAATTTTTCTGTTACCATTGAAATATATGAAAAATATAATTAAAGGGAGTGTCTGGCTAGACTTGGCAGTTGAGCTGAAAATGAAGCATTGTCAAGAAATTTTTAAAATTCATTTGAGACCTATCATACTTTTTTACGGTTCTTAAAATAGTAAACATCTTAAAAGTTTAATAGAGATTTTTTGTTACATTTACATAACAGAACCCGGTATGCTTTTTTAGGAAATATTTGAGTAAAATAATGTCAGGGTTGAATTATTATTTTTTTCTACACTTTTATTTTTTATTTTTAGTTTTTTTTCAGATGTTCTACCCTGTAGCACAGTTTTACAACGAGGGGTTTCTGGTCACTGATAAAGAAATCACAAGGAAGGGGCAACTTTAACTTTATTTTAACGGCCAATTTTGACAATTTTGAAAGAAGTTTCATTTTTTAACAACATTTTTTTATATAACATTTTGTTCCTTTAACTAGGCAAGGATTATTCCTAATTTTATCAATATCTCTTGGTCTGGTTGTATCCGGCTCCCTCGCATACTGTGCCGGGATGTACATGGTGGCATCCATCCTCGGCTTCATCTCCTTTCTCCTCGTCCTCGCTGTCCTCGGGGTGGTGTTAGGGAACATCTTCAAGAAAAAGGACGTAATCAAGGTTAAGTGTTAACTTCTTTTCTTCCTTCCCAGTCACATTCTTTTTCCTTTGAAAGACTGTAATTTATATTTTATAAGGTATTTTTTAAAATTTATTTCCGACTCTTCGTTACTATTTGACAATATACTATAGCCATTTAACTAATCTTAAAACTTTGTTTTCTCTGACTGATTAGCCTCGCTAATTCATGTCTGCTTGGCAGCACAGACCCAACCACGTTCTGAAGTTTTAAGATATTCTTGCAAGAAACATCAGATCGGAATAAAAACAGTAAAACTAAATTTGCATTAAGATCGCCTTCTGTTCATGTAACCCTTCTTTGGGATTTTTTCTATTAAACTTATTTTATTTCAGGTTCGAAAACAGAGATTGGGACCTTAGATATCAAAAAAATATAATTTTTCCATCATATATTTTTGTATATTGCAACAATTCCTTTTAAAGCACCATTTTAATACTTAAAAAGCATCTTATTAATATTTTTTGATGATCTTGATCTCGCAATCGATCAATCAAACATTTTCCGTCTTGCTTCAAGTGTTTGGCATTTGCGCAGAATGTACCCATCACATATTTGGCAGACGGAAGCCAATTTATTAACTTGTCTGTCTTCTAAATTCTATTAGTTATCAAATTTATATCTAGCTTTCAAATGTGAACCAACAACGATTCTCGTAATAATTCGAACTAAAATGTGATAAAAAGGCGTCTGTTTTTGCACGCTGTAAGTAAAATTTTTATTTGACTGACCCTAATTTGCAGAGTTAAGATGGGGTTTATGAAAGGTATTGCCCCTATAAGAAGAACGACGAAATATCTCTCAAATTCTCCGCTGACCTTCAAACCCAGAGTGAAGGTAGATGTTTACAAAAATAATAATATCCTTTTTGTAATCCGCTGTGCCGCCCACACCCAACAGTGTAGTTAAATCTACACATAATAAAAATTCAGTTGGCATTTTTTGGTAATTTTCTAATATACGATTTTTGAACCCCGCCCCCCCCCCCCCTCCTATCAATTTTGTACATGGATCTCTTTTGCAACATATGGATATAATCGGTCATGTGGCCGCAGCGCCCGGCCCCCTAGCCTGGCCTAGCCGTGGCGCTCGGCCCCTAGCATGTCCAAGCTACAGCGCTCGGCCCCCGAGCCTGTTCTAGCCGCAGGGCTCGGCCCAGAAATTGTCTTAACTTAACCTAACCCTGAAATAATTAAAAAAAATATATATTTATGCTGAAGAATAAGTGGTCATGTAGAAGATTGTTAGGAAGGGGGGGTGGGCTCCAAAAATCGTAAGCTAGGACGGACCCCATTTTTTGTTAAATTATGCGTGTTTATGGTCAAAAATGTTTCTACATTTCCCATCTGTATTTTCCACCTAAACGTATAAACGTTAGTCCCATTGGGAACAATTAAAAAAAATTTACATCCACAGTTGGTTAAATTCAAGATTTTGCCTGCAAGGAAATTTCTTCAGAAATTTAGCAAAAAAATGACCGAGGTTGGTTGCAATATCAGGTTTTTAGACATAACAATGTATTATTAAAATGTAATATTTAATTAAGTTTGAAATAACTGAATTACTTAAGTACATTTTTTGTTTAGATAATGACCGTGAACTTTAATGATGCTCAGACTGAAGAGAATCATCAGGGAGCTAGAGATTTTGTTTTCTGGAACCTTCCTCAGGTTTCAATTTTATTAAAATTAGTTTATTTATTTATTATAGATCTGTCATGCTTTTTATCTTTAAGTCACAATTTTTTTACCCACATTGTCGAATTTTACACACTATTCAAATATTCCGCCCATCTACCCAGTACCCATTTCATCATTTGCTTTATATTGTTTTATATTACAGAGCTGTCGATATTAAAGATCTCAAATTTTATACATTCTTGAGCAAGTAGATAGTATATAGCGAAAAGCCATTTGTTATCCCTGTGATTTTTTGATATTTCATGTTTAAAACTATTTACGTTTGTTTTAATAAAAGTTTGAACAAGAAAAGATTTTCTTTCCTGATTCATGACTTTCTTCTCCTTGTCATAATTTTATATCCTGAGAAATAATTTTCTTCTTCTTGTCATACTTTTCTACTCCTTTGTCATGCTTTCCTACTCCTAGTCATGATTTTTATTTTTTTTCCTTGTCATGATTTTCTACTCCTGGTCATGATTTTCTACTCCTAGTCATGATTTTCTATTCCAAGTCATGATTTTCTACTCCTAGTCATGATTTTCTACTCCTAGTCATGATTTTCTTCTCCTTGTCATAATTCTACTCATTGTCCACTCCCTTGTCATGATTTTCTACTCCTTGTCATGATTTTCTATCCGTAGAAATAACTTTCAACCGTTTACAGTGAATCTATATTCTATACTCCTTAGTTATGATTTAATACCTACTTGTCATGATGTTCTTATTATACCTTTGTTTTTAAACCTTGTTGCAATGCTTTCGTGATTTTCTTCTCCTTGTCATGATTTTCTACTACTAGCCATGATTTTGTATTCCGTAACTATGATTTCACACTCTATTCATGACGTTTCACCCTCTCAATTCATTTCTGAGATTAAATTGACTTTTATTTCAGGTTCAGTATAAAAACCCTGATGTTCAGATCCTCACCTTTAAAAATATGACTCCAAGTCCTTTTATAACCTGCTTTCTAGAGGAAATTAGATTTAGATTATAAAAATTGCGGATTATTTTAAAATTCTTTTAGAAAAATATTTGCCTATGATAATCAACATATTGAAATGGTATGTCATATAAAGAACAAACAAAATCCATTAATAATATCAATGTTAACAATATTCTTTTATAGTAGAATAAGAGTATATTTTATTAATATGTATTGAACTTTAAGAATATTAAATCTTACTCGAATTTAAATCTAATCTTTGGTTTCCTAGGACAATACCAAAGTTTATTTCGATGTAGACTCTCAGAGCAATAAAGATATTTTGGATCGATTAGTTAAAACATTGGGGAAATCTAAAGAGGTAAGCTTAATCTATCGATAAAATCATCAATTTGATAAAATATTAGAAAAGTTAATTATAAGGTACGAGAAAAAAATGGATTTTTTAAAGCCTTATATTTTGTTCTAGGTGCTTGAGGAAGAAGCTGTTGCCTCCGAGGCTAAGTCAAATCCTGCAAATTTCTGTCGTCGACTTGGTTTCTCCCGCCATTGCATCTGCGAAATGCCGGGACAAATTCCTTGTTCTTCACTTGTTCCTGTTCCACGGCATTGGCGCGGCAAGTGGTACAACCAAGGACATCGATGGGAGTCGGACGATTAATAAATATTGTAATTTCAGAAGTGATTGTTGGAGAAAATGGCGTGCAGTGCAATATATTTCCTGGATATGAAGGGGAAGGTTCTTATCTCCAGGAACTATCGAGGAGATATCGACAACTCCGTCATTGATAAGTTTATTGGTAAGGGATAGGGTCCAGAGGAGAAGAGTGTTGTATATTTCAACTCCTCTTTTCCTATTATAAAAAAAAACTAAAAACAGGCTTTAAGAAATTTCATCACTTTTATGTTTTTATTTTTATGATTGAATATAAAATTAAGTTAGGGAAAACTCCCGCTAACTGCTACTATTGTTTTTTTGCATTTACCATGAATGTCAATGTACATGTAGAAAAGTAATCCGGAGTACTCAAGGTGGAGAATTATTACCAACAAGCTTTCAATCTGTCGCTTATATTTTGACCGTCGTCACTTTATAATAAACTTGAATAAAAAAGTTAAAATAAGATTAGTTTTTAAGTTGATATATTGTTTCCCTACTCAGGTCTTGTATCAGAGCTTGACGACGACAACAACATGAATCCTCTGATAAAGACGGAGGAGTGCACCTTCGCCTTCATCAAGCACAGCAACGTGTACGTGGTGGCGACCACCAGGAAGAATTCTAATATCGCAATGCTCTTCTCTCTTCTACACAGAATATGTCAGGTAAAGGGGGGCTTTTAAATTTTAACATATCGCAAGCAAATGCAGGGGGAATAAAATAGTTTTAGCTCTCGTGGAAACAATAGTAAGAACAATTGTGGACCAAAATATGAAAAGGAATCAAAAGCTTGTTATTTTTGAAGTTAAATTTTTCATTTTTAATAAAAATTATTCCAAAGAAAAACACTGGAATTTTTCTATCTCTTCAATAGTTCTTTTTTATTTAAATTTTTGGTTTCTATAATTCAATTTATCAATCTATTCAACTTATATTTGTTCCAGGTGATGCAGGAGTACTTCAAGGAGGTCGAGGAGGAGTCCATCAGGGACAACTTTGTAATCTGTTACGAGCTCTTAGACGAACTCGTGGATTTCGGATATCCTCAGACTACTGATGCAAAGATACTGCAGGAGTACATTACTCAGGTTACTATTAAGCTAATAATCCTATTAGATGTAATTATGATCATAATATTGATTTCTATAGAGTGATGAGTAATCTTGTTCATTCAATATTTTCATAAATCGATATAAACATCTGTTTATTTTTACTTCCTTCAGAAGAGGGTATGTAAAATTAGTTCCTAAAATAGGAAGATAGGTAAACCCCCTATTTAGCCTAACTCCTATTTTAGGAGAATTATATACCTCCTATCCAACCTAATTCCTATTTTAGGTTGATTGAATACCTCCTGTCCAACGTAACTCCTATTTCAGGAGAATGTTATACCTTCTTTTCAACCAAACTTCTGTTTCAGGAAGAATACCTCCTGTCCAACCAAACTCCTATTTCAGGAGAGATATATACCTCCTATCCATGCTTCTTTTTAAGACAGATATATATTTACAAGCTGAGGTGCCCGGCGTTGCCTGTGAAAAAAAATAAATTATGAAAAAAATAAATTTTGAAGGAACAAAAATTGGATTTTTTTAGTCTATGTCACCCCCAGGCTACTAATGAGTGTCCAAAAAAAATTCAGCCCCTTCGATCCAGCCGTTTGGCCGGCCAGAGGGAACATATATACGAATGTCTTGTTTTATTTCATAGATACCTCCTATCCAACCATACTTCTATTTCAGGAGGGATATAAACTCGAGGTTGCCATGAAACCTCCTCCTGCTGTTACTAATGCTGTATCCTGGAGAAGTGACGGAATTAAGTAAGATTTTAATCAGTTTTTTGGGATACACTGAAAAAAAAATTCTGTCCTTATACAAAATACTTTACATGGACGTTTATTGAAATATCACTGTTTTCTTTCTTATATTTCTTCTGTTTTAGAATTGAGATAATGGTGAAGGCTAAGTCCCAGTTTAAACGACGATCTACTGCTAACAATGTCGAGATTGTTATGAGGGATATAAACTCGAGGTTGCCATGAAACCTCCTCCTGCTGTTACTAATGCTGTATCCTGGAGAAGTGACGGAATTAAGTAAGATTTTAATCCCCGTGTTTTTCTCTTATTGTAACAATTTCCTGGTGCGTTAGAGCTAGCTAATACATATATTTTTTTGAAATTTAGATAGAAATTTGTCTGTATCTGTATCTGTATTTGTATCTAGGTACAGAAAGAATGAAGTCTTCCTGGATGTAATTGAGAGTGTTAACCTCCTAGCAGGGGCATCAGGGAACGTTCTCAGGTACAATTTAAACCTCAAGTTCACGGGGGGTAGAGGGGGCCTTAAGGGCAAAAATGGGTTCGGTTGGTGGGTTGAATCAGATGTTTGTTCAAAGATGATTTTGTCCTCTTTAGGTCGGAGATAGTAGGAGCTATAAAGATGAGAGTTTATCTCTCCGGTATGCCAGAACTTAGGCTAGGTCTCAACGATAAGGTGAGAATTTGACTTTGATCTAATGAATTTGACTGTTCAGCTACTTTCTTTAATCGGTGATATAGGATTTGTCTATGTCCTATTAGATGTAAACTTTATGTCAGCACTACTCTCCAAGCCTACCTGATGATTAGTGTCTAGTGTTCTGTGTAGACACTAGAATGCAGTAGATTAATCCTCCCACTGTTCTTCAAGTCTACCTGATGATTCGTGTTCTGTGTATACAGGAGCAGATTAATCTCCTCAGGTTCAGTTGAGTTGAATCGGTGATATAGGATTTGTCTGTGTCCTATTAGATGTAAAGTTTGTGTCCACAGATAAGGAGTTGAATCAGCAGTAGTTATTTCAGCGACCTAGTTCAAATTAATTGAATTCGGTTCCCAGATCCCTAGATCTAATATTTTTCTCCAGGTCCTAGTTTTATTGTTTACTCCCCAGGTACTGTTTGAG